CCTCTGGCTCTGCAGCTAAACAACTAACTTACTGAGTTACCCAGCCACCTATAAATGTAAACAAATATTTGCAAAGTGCTGCCCCTCAAGTGAAGCATGGATAGGATTGCCAGATACATGGGTACCAAAAGGAGGACATAGAAAGACAAAAAAGAGGACAGAGGAGGACGTACTGAATGTTTCATTTGAATTGTTCCGGATTAAATGCGCAATCAATACAATTTTATTCCAATAGCTGTCAATAAATGTCTCTTAGTGAACCGACCAAGAAACAGTCATGTTAAAAATTAAAAATAAATTCAATGGAGGCTTTTTTTCAAAATACCAAAAAGCATTATTTAAACAGCCAATTGTACCCAAAGCCACCCCGGCCCGGCTGCGGGATCCCCCGGCTGCTCACATTCTGCACAGGCTCAGAGGCAACCTTGCTTATCTGGATGCCCAAACAAGGCTCCGGCGGAGGCAGGGGGAAAGCAGTGTTGGGCAAAGCTGAACGAGGCAACCTCCCCTCCCCCAAGGGTCACATGTTCAAGGCTGGGGAGTGTGGGAGTTGGAGTCCCCAAAAGGGACTTTGAACACACGGAGTCCGGATGCTTGCCTTCCCATCAATGTGCTCGGGTGCTGCTTGCTCCTGCTTGGGTCAGCGGGTGGCGCTCTGCTCGTGCTGCCTTTCTGGGCTCCACGTGGGCTGGATGGGCAAGGCGGATCACTGAGCATCTGCGGCGGTGGTGGGAGGGGCAAGGGCTGTGCTCCGGCACCAGCGGCAGGTAATGGGCAGGCAGGTGGGCAGGGGCGGGGAAAGAGAGGGGGAGGGGGGTCCTTCTATCTCTCCCCCTCCCATCCAAAATTATAACATAAAATATACAAAAGCCTGACATTTTTAAAGGTTTTTATTTTTGCCTGCCAGACGGAGGACATGAGGCTAAAAAGGAGGACATGTCCTCCGTTTGCATGACACCTGGCAATCCTAAGCATGGAGCATCCTTTGTGTGCGTAACAGCAAAGGGTTTCAGAGTAAAAATCTCCTTAGATTTTCACAGAATGTTCTCACTTCTTTCAAATCTCATAGTTTCTTCATGGTTTGATGGAAAGTTAAATGCAAAAAAAAAAAAAAAAAAAAAAACAGTATTTTATGATTACCATGATAAGCTTGTTTCCCTCAACATTTGATTCCAGAAAGCCCAAGGAAACACTGGGTGTCATATACAGGATGGTACTTTTCTGTTTGTTTGTTTTACAAAAAATAATAATACTCTTGACAGAAAATCACTAAACTAGTAGTGAGCTCCAGCTAATATTACAGCATGGCCGCAGACGGCGCTGATCATTACAAGTTGGTGTCACTGACAAATACTGCTTCTCACTTTTACAAGTACCATGCCTTTTAATCCCTTCTGTATGTATTTCACCTAACAGTTGAGGGCATGTTTTGTATATATATATAAAAAAGCCTCTTGCTGTCTTCTCACATCGTTTTCATACAATCAGCAAATGTCAGACATTATCAGTTGAAGAGGAGTGCACTGCACACATGTGTAAAAACCCAAATGAAAACCCAAAAGATCTATATTTCTATATGTACTGTATGTCAGATAGTATTTCAATGTTTTAAAAGAAATGTAAAGTAAAAATGAAAAACGAAGCAAAGACTCCAGAGCCAACTGTCCTTTCCTATATATTAGTACTCTGTCCTCAATTCTCCACAGTTTTCACTAACAGAGTGTCACAATTTAATTGGGAGAAATAACATATAATCCATTATGCTAGCTTGTTCACTTTGTGGGTTTTTTGCCATCTAGTGCCAAATCTGTTCGGGTATGAGGTCTAACCAGGATACAATATCTTCATCATGCAAGTGGCAGGCATATGTGTGCTGGCCTTACCCCTATACCCCATAGTACTGGCTCAGTGCTTTCACATCAGGTCCTGGAGCACCACTGTTGGAACTGCAAGACATGGGGCCAATGCACCTGAGGGAATAGGGATGAGGCCAGCATGCATGGCCCTATGTCCCACTCATGTACTGGTTAGGTAACACAGCTGAATACAGTGGACCCTCTACTTACGGAATTAATCCGTATTGGAACGGTGGCTGCAGGTCAAAAAGTCTGTAGGTCGAGTCTCCATTGACCTACAATGCATTGAAAACTGATTAATCCTGTAACCAGCCATTTCTGTTCCACTTTTGTTCCATTTTGGTTTTCTTCTGGTCTGTAGGTCGATTCTCCGGCTGCAAGTTGAACCTAAATTTTGCGCCAGAGAAGTCTGTAACTGGAACTCGAAAAGTATGTATGTCGAGCCGTCTGTAAGTCGAGGGTCCACTGTACCGCTAGTTTCTCCTGCAATCTTGTCTCCAGGTTTCCAAAATTTCCAAACGATGGAAGCCCAAGCAAAGACCCTAAACCACAAGCCACTGAATTTTGTGGACTTACTGTGACATGGACCTGTATTTACAAAGCCTTAAGAATCCAAAACAGTTGGCTGGAAACATTAGAAGCTCCTTTGTTCTCTGAGTCATTCAGTGTTATGGCCTAACAAAAACATTATGTGGACAGCACTTCATTTCATCAGAAACATAAGTTGCCTGATTTAAATAGGTTTACACAGGCCTAACCCTGCACTAGACTTAGATCACAGCACTGAAAACAGAATTACTGATGTTGCTACACTAGTCTGCTGTGATGACAATGCAACAATTCCTTTCAGACATCTATAAGAATAGTTCTGTGGAACAGCACATACTTCCCAGCATCCATCCCCAGTATCGTCTAACTAAAACCTTGGAAAACTATGGTTGGCTGGCATAAACAACTCCAAGCAAGATGCAACGAAGCTCCAAGTTAGTCTACAGAGCCTCCTACATTTTCTCTACAATGGGTCCTCTACATCAATTCCCAGGATACTGAGAACCATCACTAGCTGGACTTTCCAGGCCAACAATCACTGCAGTGGGGCAGAAGGAAATGCAGACACTGGCAGAAAAAATGCTAGGTTATTAAAGCAGTTCAAAGTTATTCTAAGGCACTTGAAAGCTCCTTGGGCAGAGTACCATGATTAGGGGCCCAAGTAATATACTGATTACTGTTTTCCATTTATGATAAACAAATACACAAATGCACATTAAAACTATACAAATATGACTGGCACATTGTTCAGTTCTACACCTATTATAAAAGAAAAAACATGCTTTGTTTCTCCTAAAAAAACCCAGTGAAAATCCTATAACAGAAATTCAGATTAGTCCTAAGATTGCAGCCATTTTGTTGCCAAACCTCGTCCTTCCTCTTTGCTCTTGATTAACTAGTTAGTAGGATAGTCATTCATAGCCTCTGACAAGCTGTTGCTTACAGCTATTAAAGTTGAAGATTTTCACTTCAAATCTCACTTCCATTTGCATGTGTCTGTGGGGTGGAGGTAATTGCTTCATACTATTTTTCAATAGCTAAGCACAATTTTAAGAGTATTAAGGGCAATTAACTATCTTTTTGCTATTCCATGCAAAAAAAACCACATTGTGCTCTTGATAATCTGCTGGAATGTGACAGGGATGATGGGTGTAATAACCATCATAGACTGGGAATCCTATCCAGAAAGGTACAGACAGACATTTAAAAAAAATGGAGGAATCAGGTGAATGCTCAAATATAGTGGGCACAATCCAGAGAAAGTGAACAATGAAATCAATGGGACTCAAGCACTTATCTACAAACTTAAATCTCATTGATTTCAACTGAACATTAGCTCACTTAGCTTTCTCTTGATTGCATCCAGTGGCGTCATCCAGCCTGGTCCTCTTAAAAGGCTTCTGGGAGCAGCAACAGTCCCAGTAATTTCTCAGAACATCAAGCCTTCACCAAGGGAGCTGAAAAAACAAAAAACTTCACAGCAAATTCCTACAATGAATTCCAGCCACAACTGCAGTTGAAAGCAATCAAAATTCGATAATATTCATATTCTTGCCAGAATTTGTAGGATTTTTGTTGGATTCCCCCCCCCCCATATTTGTTGGATTCCACACACACCCCAGCTTTTTCTAAGGGCCACACTAATGTTACAATTTCAGTTCATAAGACTTATCAGACGGGACATTCTTGGGGCAAACACTACAATGTGAATTTTTTTGTATCCCACATAATATTTTCTTATGATGGACTCATAAGTGGACATTGTATATCCTTCCCATCATATGATTTTTTGTAACAAATTATGCAAATAGGGGCACAAGTATCAAAACTTGTAATGCTATAAGACTTGGTGTATTCAATTTGTAAAGTATTGTTTTGGAGGTTCAGGGGAAAATATAAACATATTTTGCATGTTTAATATTTTACACAATTTGGAATATAATTTCCTATATATACTTCTTTCTTTAATCAAATCAGAGCATTGCACAATTTAAAATGTATTTACATTAGATATAGATACACAAACACTTCAAGTTATTACTTTCTGGTCTTATAATTTAAAAGTAGATAGTTGTGTGTGCTAAGTAGTGAAATTTGAAACAGCAGACTCATTGGGCAGATATATTGAGATCAATGGGCAAAATCCTGCTGCATAGCTATGTCAGCATAATTCCAGGTGGTAGAAGCAGTTGCAAACTTTGCAGGAAGGCAGAAGTCATATCTAGCAAGAAGTTCTTCAAATGTAACTGCACAACTAGTTGTAAATTAGACACCCAGACTGCCTGATATAACTCCTTGTGAACTTCCGCAGCCACAATCTTATGCTACACCAAATGCAATAGGATTTCAGCCCTTAGTATTTAAACAGGTCATGACTAACTCTAATTCCAGTGATTTAAATGGGTCTACTTTCTATAGAAAGTTAGAAATCTATGAGAAAAGTCTTTTGATCCAGAGAACATCTAAGAGACAGCTTTACAGATGCTTAATTCTTTGCTTACACAATATCTAGCATATGCAGTTGACAGAAGAAGGCTTGTGGGACTTTTGCAAAAAAAAAAAAAGAAGAAGAATTGAGAGAAATATTCCACTTACTTATTGTAGATCCCGATTCAGGTCTGTTCAAGGAGCTAATGATAACAAAGCCAAACCCTTCACTCTCTTTGCGATGGATGACAACATCACTTGTTTGCAAGCTGTGCGAAGCAAAGCCCTCTGGGGGTGTAGCGTTGCTACTCGATCCAGCATGATTGCTGTTCGCATATGTGGCATAATCACTTCTTGGAGAACTGTGGTGTGTGGACACAGAGCCTGGACTTCTACCATTCTCTGGACATGGTTCTCCTAAAACATAAATTATACAAGATTATATCTCATTTGTTTATTGTTAGAAGACATGATCACCAAACTCAAACCTCTCCACCCCTACTTGGTTCTGTAGTGAAAGAGTTAATCTGAATTCATGAGCAAAGGGAGCAGCCTAGCCTTGCCCCCTTTCATCCTTCCCACTTCTCACATGTGGAGAACTAAATCTGAAGAGGAGGGTAGTTTCTATGTGAACAGGAACTTTGATGCATCAGGGCTTCCTGTTAGATGGATAGCTTGCATGGGTAGAGATAGCTCTCTTTCTCCATTCAAGAGTTACCTGTAAGTTGATGGAACAAGTTTACACCTCAACTCATGGATTTGGATTCACCTTTTTATTGAATGGCCGAATAGGGCTTCTCCCTTTCTAGAACACAGATTACTGTACTAGAAATAGCTGAGAAAAATGATTCCACCCGACCACTGTATTTTGCAGAATTTCCTAGTAAGCATGGCCAACTGGGGGATTCTAGGAGTCCAAAATTAACTTTACCAAGCTCTGGCAGAGAGTACTAAAACAAATAGATCAGGCATGGAATTTTGGGATCCCTTTTGGATGAGAAAGACAATATGGAGTCATCCTCCTTGTGTTCCAAAATGGAACTCTTAATATGAAGAATAGATGAACATTGGCGATACATGACTCAAATGAAGCACCCTCTGGATTTCTTTGAAACAGGAAATATTTTCTTATAGGGCCTGACCTGAAGATAAGTTCTGTACCCATACAATTAACACTCTTTCTCCTTTTACTGGCTTTCTTAAGATACTAGTCAGTCAGACCCAGAGCGTGGAAGTAAAGCGTTATAAATAACAACTTGTAATTAAACACATTCCCAGTAATTAATAAATAACTTTGTGACACTTCAATTGTAACACAATGGATAGCTTTTTTTACAATATAACTGTAACCGTTTTTAGCTACTTTTAAAGTAACACGATGCGGCTTCACTACTTAGGGTATGTTTTGTACCACAGGGCAACAGCTTGCAGTATCCTCATGTTACTTTTTTTAACTAACCAAAGTAACGTTTTAAGTTGCTATTGAATACGGTAATAAGAAAGTAAAAAAATATTTGAAGTTAAAAATTATAAGTTTGGCTACTTTAGGGCGCTTGAAACTATAATTGTAATGAACCATTTTTGAAAGTAACTTTCCAAGCATTACTCATACTATGATTACAGTTAACACCGACAAGCAAGAAAGGAATTAAATGTTCTATCAAAGCAAGGATGTGAAGATCTACGACTAAGCAAAGAGAAGCAATGAAATCAGTGGTGGCCTCATCAAGATGGTGCTGATTTTAGTATCATTTCCTCAGAGACATTCCTCTACCTGGTGTTAAAACTGGTATGTTTTCAGATGAAATCCTTTTAATTTTCCAAGGCCTTTAATATGTCACTTCTTGTTCTGTTTCTAGCTAGCTGTGTTGTTGGTTGGGCTTTAGAACCACTGGCGTTGTTTTTATTTGTTTTATCTATATAGATTTTAACTTTTCCTGTAAGCTACTCTGAGACTCTCCTTGAAAGCTCAGAATCCAGACTAAATGAGGTATTTACGCAGGCACTAACTGGAGATGAGTTATATTCAGGCTTCTGAATAATGTGGCAGTCCTTTCACTACTATTGACCTTAACATATCTTTTGACTCCAGGGATAAACAATAACTAAATATTATGGGGTTTTGGTTATTCTGTAGAACACAGTGTACATTAATATCACAGTGAACAGTGTTATAGTTATGATATATTGCTGTGATAGGATGGGGAGTTTCATTAAAATGAATCCGGTGTTTCCTTGACGATCCTTGTCTATGTGCTCTATCTCATAAGAATGTTTAATTAAACATCTAGTTCAATATTAAGGTATTTGCCTTCAAACTAAAAGAAGTTCATTAGGCAACTAACAGAGTAATTAGGATTAGCTGCATGGTATGCTTTTAAGGAAAGAAGCTCCCATTCAAAAAGATTCTTGTGTCTGAACTAAAGGCATGATTGAAGGAAGACTAATCCTAAATAATTATTCTGTTGTCAAAGATTGGGTGGTTATTTGGTTGGGAAATAGGATGCTGATCATGCATACAGAACTGGAATAATTAGCCCTATTTATGTGACAGATCAGAAATACTCAAATAAATGTAGAGACAATGTAAGAAGAGAGTAATTGAGCTCATAATATTTCTATCTTTAGTGTTCAATGAAAAGTGAAAGGGAGTGAGAGAGTGCACGCTAAACTTGTATTTTGGACAATGCATTGACTTGTATCTCAGGCAGAAGCTTTATTACAGATGAATCTGAGCACTCTGTGGCCTAATCCATTCTACAAGCAATAATGAAAATGGTCTCAATAAAGGAATAGAGGTTGCTTCACTATGAGGACTCACCACTACCACTCACAGACTTGAAAACTGTGGGCCATCCTCCTTGGTTAGAGACTCACCACTACCACTCATTGACTTTTTCGGAACTTTGCTTCTGCCATCGAGTATGGAGGCAACAGTCTCTCTTGAGCCTCAGCTTGCCAAACTGAGGTGAATAAAGCTGGCAGCATAATTGTATAAGTCATGGAAGGCTCAGAGGATGCACCAGGTAGACAATCATTTTATTGTCTTGCTAAACTACTGAAAAGAGCCATGAATCCAGCAAAATTATTCTGCTAGCACAAAGTCTCCTGTGCTACTGGAAGTGAATATACAGAATTACTGCAGGAGTGGGATCCATTACAACTATCCATTTTGTAACCTGGCACACAGGATACAGTATTGTACACCATCTCCAGCACGTATGGAATGGGTGCTGTGCTAGTGAAGATTTTATGTCACACAGCATATAGGTCAGACAACCTTAACTCCACAGTTACCGGCAAATCCTGTCCCACTTAGTGACTGAAATATACACAATGCTGTCTATATCTCATGTGTACCTACTCAGAAGTAAGCTCCTCTGAATTCATCCCTAACTTTATATATAGAAGAGCTACGCTCAGGAACTAGCATTCAGAGGCAGAACTGCCTGCCTGCAGCTACACAACAGAGATTGATCCCATAGCTGGATGGCTGTAGTTTTATATAAAGGCAAAATGAATGGCTTCAGTGATAAAGAGGCTTATTAAAAACAGCTGACTTGTTTTCTTCCCACCAGACATGTCATATATAAAACAAGCAATATTGTCAAAGTACAAAATCATGTTTGGTTTCTCTGAAGCAAGGTAAAGTTGTTCTTTTCTCCAGCAAGCAGGTATGTCCTCTAGCCCAGTGGTCCTCAACCTTGGGCCTCCAGATGTTCTTGGACTTCAACTCCCAGAAATCCTGGCCAGCAGAGGTGGTGGTGAAGGCTTCTGGGAGTCGTAACCCAAGAACATCTGGAGGCCCAAGGTTAAGGATCACTGCGCTAGCCGCCTTCCTACAACTTTGAAATAAAGTGATTAGCACAAGTACAAGGAAAGGAAAACAATCATTATGCCGCTATGTTTCGAATTGAAAATCTCCAGAAGTTACTGAACCAGAGCAGCAACTAAATGCTGTAGACAGTGACAAGAAAGTTCTCATTTTCTGGCTGTCACGTTTTAGAAGGCTGAATGCAGTTTATGTCACTGCCAGTGCAACTAAAAGAAAATTATCTTACCCTGCTGAATTACCAACTGCTGCCTCTGCTATAAATGAATGGAACAGATTCCCATTAAGTACAGGAAAGAATGATGAACCAGGCAGAGCAGATTTTATATTGCTATTGGATTTCCATCTATTCTCAAAGATCTATTCATGGGGAAAGGAAGGAAATGGGAAAGTTTAGTTCTGTTCCCTGCAGAAAGTAGTATTTTAATTCCTCTGTCCCTTAAAAAGTCACTCTTTCTTGACTATTCCAGTCTGAATAGTTGGCAATTCTCTTCATTTCTTTTGAGTTTGGAAGGTATTATGACTCTTTTTTGAAAAATGTATGAACTAACTCATTCTGAGAACATTTAATAACCTGGACTGCATGTTTAAATGTAAATCCCTGTATGGGTTTCATGTATGGGCTTATTAGATGTCTTTCCTTCTCACAATATTCTCCACTGTACCTATTCTTCAGAGGTAGCACAATGTTTGCAATGTGGGGAAAGGTATTTTCCGGCCGTGACATGCAAGGTGGGAGTCCTTCCACTTAGGTTACTGTTTTTAAAGAAAGACTGCATACTTTTCAGCTTAAGATCCCACCCCAACCCCCTTTCTCCCCAGCCATAGAGTAGCCCTGGGTTTGGCAGGCAAACAATCCAAATGACTGAAGGGTTGGTGTCTTCTGCCTCTGTTAGTTGCTATGCAGGGATGGCTCAAGCTCTCCCACTATTTGAGGAACAAAATGAGGTGCCATCCCCCACAAGTTGTGTGCCCCACAGTGCAAGGAGGTGTTCCTGCCCACTAACATAGGAAGGAAGAGATGGCGGTGGCAGCAACAGAAAGGAACTGCTTACTCCCCTTTGGAGAACACTGAGGGAGAGAAGGGGAAGAGCAACACTGTCCTCCTGGACAAAGGCAGGAAGAGGCAGCAAGCCACCTCCTCTGAAGAAATTTCGAATGACATGTGACGGCAGGTAGGAGCAGCCAAGGCCATGTGAAAGTTTTGCCCGCTCTCGCTGCTAGAGAAGAAGGAAGATGCTTGGGAGGCCACCTCCCACCATAAGTCAGCTCTGTGCAGAGCAGGCCACTTTTTTAGTTTAGGTTTTGAGTGGTCCTTCTTGTTCCAAGCAGAGACACTATGGAAGGAAAGATCAGGAAATTTGCCCACTGGGATTCTCAAGAGACAATCCTCCCAATTGGTTCTCCCTGACACTTAAAAAGATCACAAGATCTGTAAAGAACTGACTTTTGAACAGAAGAAAATTTGTCTATAGCCACCTTATCAACCATCTTAGAAATGCAGAGCTGGAAGGGACCCTATGGGTCATTGACTCCAGCCCCTGTCAGGGAAGCACAGTGGGGAATCAAACTCCCATCCTCTAGCTCTGTAGCCAGAGGCCTAAACCACTGAGCTATCCAGCAGCTCTGTTTTCTTTTCCTTCTTCTGGTGGCCAAAGTGTACAATGTACACAGCTTGTCCTGACTGCTACTACCTACTGTCCCTTTTCATTGTTACTGCCTTTGCTGCCACTCATTTTTTTTAATTCTTCAGAGTAATTCATTGTCTTCTGTCCCTCCTCTCCATCTTTCTTGTGTGTGTGTCAAGAGATGAGACCAATGCTGAAACACAGCCCCAGATGAAGACAGAGAGGGGTAGAGCAGAAGTTACATTACTCTGGAGCTGCTGGTAGCATTTGTACTCTTCTGTTTCTTGTCTCTTTGTTGAAGAGGCAGTGACGCAGCAGCACTACTCCTTTCTCACATGGCAGTGACAGGGATGGGACAGGAGCCCATTCATGGCCCCCACCACTGCTGCTTGAGGCAACCGTCACACCTAGCCTAATGGTAGGGCTGGCCCCCATTGCTAACTCTAAAGATATGGGGGGAGAACCACCTTTTTATGTCTCAGCCTGCTAGTTCTAGACATAAAGGTCCACCCTCTCCACATTCTGCTAGATGGCCACTGCCTCCAAAAACTCTAAAACCCTTTTCATCTAGCCTGATGGACTTTACCAAGAAGGCCCTTCACAGGGCCAAGAGATTATCTCAGCTGCAGCCGCACATCCAAATCTATTTTGGAATCAAGATACGTAGTACCTGTAGCCAAACTATTCTGCTACACAAAGCTAAGGTTTGAAAAGTACAAGAAGAAATAATTCACTAAGAAACTTGTTGCCCTGTTCTTGCATTCCAGACCTATGCGGAAGCCAGCTCATTCTGAGTACCAACCTCAGTAAACGATCCTAAAATTCCTTAAGCTGGAACTATGCAAGTTAAAAGTAATAAGAAATTAATTTAATGGTGGTGCAATTACACCTTTTTGCCTACTGGCCTGATGAGACATCTTGGGAAGGGACAAAGTATTCCAGATAACCTGCAATAAGCTTTTTACTATGGGTTATATGCAAAAAGGCACAAAAGAGTAGTCAACTAGATGAGCAGGGTGCAAATGCAATAAATAAATAAATAAATAAATAACAAACAAACAAATAAACAAATAAATACATAAATACATAAATACATAAATACATAAATACATAAATACATAAATAAATAAATAAAGTGGCTGTTTTAATAGCACCTTTTAATTCCTCACATGAACATATTTTAGTTGCTGTTTTTCCTACAGAGTGTGGTTCAGAACTTTCCTGGGCAACTTTGGAAATGATAGCTTGAAAACCAAAATTAATTCAGTATATTAAAATGCTTTCTGATAAATTAGGCCATTTATTTAAAGAATTTGGGACTCCATCAGTTTAGCTTGAATGAGGATGTATGCAAAAAAGGTTGGCAAAAGTTTTGCAGCCTTATTTCAAAAAACAATTACACCCATTGTCTCATTTATTGTGTATAATTAAAAGAGCAACAGAGGGAGAAATTGAATAAAACCTGAAGACAAACGAAATTTTGCAATACAATACAATGCCACCTATTTCTGCAGCTTTTTCAGCTTAGATTCTCATTTTGGCAAGGTGATCAATGGCAGACTATCAATGGCAGAGGATAAGGCCATCAGTGACAGCTCATTGTGATGCCTTTATCATCCTTCCAGGATCAAAGGCAGGGAAGCTCTCAATATCAGATCCCTGCTGAGAATTATTTCATGAGAATTACAGCCATTCTCATTCAACAGATGGAGGGGGAAATCCTGTAGGGAAGAATGTCAAAAAGCATAAATTATGAGGTAAATTCTTATGAATAAGTTTCAGTGTTCTTGCACTTATCTTACTTGTGAGGGGGGCGAAGCAGCATTTGTGTGTGTGTGTGTGCGTGCATGCATGCATGCCTTGTCTTTCACTATATAGTCACCTCCCAGCTCCTACCAGTCCACACTTCCTCAGAAAGATGTCATAAGGTAAATCGTTTTATGCGACTTCCCACTGAGGAGTTTGGAACATATACACTTGTTCCTAGTAGTAAACTGTTTAGTGCATTAATCTAGAAAAGAAAGGTAAAATAAAATTCTAGGAAATGGATCCTGCCTAGCAGCGATGATGCAGGTTTTTCATGTTGCTGTACCCTTATGTGAAATGCTTGATGGAGCAGCTGCATGGGAGTATATAGCATGTTGTGACTCAAGTCTGAATCTTCCTTAGTGCTTCAGTGGTTGGCATGTCCATGGGAGTTCTTGGGATTTATTGGGAGGTTTGGCTGTCATGTATTTTCTCTGCTAGCACCAATAGCTCAGTCTTTTTTCATTTCTGTTTCCTCAGTTAGTGCCAGAACTACTGTCTTTGTTTTAAAAACCCCATGAATGCTGGACAGAACACAAAACATGTATGAGGGTATTTCTCTGCCTTGTGGGTAGCGTGCAGTGCTTTAGTCCATCCCATAGTTCTCTCAGAACTATGATTTGGTCTTCTTCCTTCCCCCCCTTACTTGCACACTTCTGTTATCTATGATTAAACAGCAGCTTTCCTCTCAGAAATTCATTCTCCCTCTAGAGTCAGCAGAACTTACTACTGAATTTTACTGATTTGGCTGAGAACTTCCAGAATCCCATGGGCAGTATGACCTCTGCCATTTTGAGTAGAGGATTCTGGGAGCTGCTGTTGAAAAAGTATCATGTGCAAGCTCTGATTTATTCACTACAGACAAAAGCAGTTCTACTATAACTACTGCTGACATATCTAATGATCACTTCAGCCAAACATTCCTTCCACAGTTTTACAACCCACAATGTATGCCTGCTTACCCATGTACTATTCCCGTTACTTCAACTTGCACCCATTTTTTTTGTCATCTTGGCAGACCGAACTCAACTGCCTATTTATCAGCTTGTTTACCTACTGTGAGCACCAAACGTCCTATTTGGCAGATTCCAGTATGCCATTTGGCTCCGTAATAAGACAACACAACTGTGTGCCAAACTTTGTACAGCTGTGCAGTGCCAGCACTATTTCGAGCCAGAAAATTCAGTCAGCAAACTGCTCGTGGACAAACTACCAACAGCAAATTTGTCGAATGAGTTCCGGACTGGGACCATCATCACACGAGTGTCCACCTGCTTGGCTCATTTTGCTCCACCCTCTGGGAATAATGGCACTGTGGCTGGTTGGCAGAACTATCATCTTTACATCTGCCCTGGGTCTGTGCTACAGAGATTATGAGCAAACAGATTCTTCGCTTCCAAGATGTTGCTACAATGCAGAGGAGGGGAATGTGTGAACCTCCAGATGTTACTGAACTTGTACTCCCATGAGCTCTAGCCAGCCACCAGTGATGGGAGATGGTAGTTGCAGTTCAACAACATCTGAAGACCCACATGTTCACCATCCTATCTATAATGGAAAATGTGACTGGGGCTTATTTTCAAAGACAATTATCAACTGACACTTCCAAACATGTGTCTGTGGGGGCAGCAACAAATAAAAGTGGACAGTCTCACAAGCACTGGCACAATTTTCCCCAGAGAATGAACCACCACCTGTCATATCTATTACCTTGGTTACTGGCCATTTTCCTAGGGTTTGGGGAGCTGCTAGGGGGCGTTGCACCAGGTTGGAGAGCATTTTTCTGACTCCAGGAGTCTAAAATGGGCAATAGAAGAACATCAGTCTTCAAAATGGAATGACTGTGACAACAGGACGGGGGGCTGGGGGGATTGTGCCCCAACAGAAGATGGCACTGTCAACAATGAGATGGATTTGAGTGTATGAGACTTTGGGGGCATCTGAAGAACATGTGCTGGGAACATAATGCAAAGACTAGGCAGAGAAAAGGGGAAAGGCGAGACTTTTAAGGTGAAAATAGGGGATATACACAAGGGACATGTCTGCTTATTTCAACATTTCCTAGGCAGGGCGCCTTCAACTGCTATGTTTATAGGTATCCTCCTACAAATGTAAAATGCAAATGTGGATGAACAAGCATTAAATATACATGTAAAATACAGGTGCACTTTTTAGAGACTTGCTACAGCCTCTTGCTGAGTGCCTGGTTTGTTGTTGTATGGTGTGTGGGATCGCTCACATCCCTACCTTCTCTTGTTCTAGTCAGTAAACATAAGGTACTACAGAAATATCCTCCTCAGCCTGTGGGAGGACAAGATCTGCTGCTGATGACTTTTTATACAGATTGTACCTGCTGTGCAAATTACATGGCTTGGGCAATTTGAGTTACAGTACTTACTCATGACTGCAATTATTGCTGCATTGTTAGGTGGATTTAGGGGAATCAGAAGCATTGGGCGAGTTGTTTGCATTCAAAAATATATATATTGCCTTATCATTCAGTGCTTGTCATGTATGCATGCATTGCATTTTAAAGAGACATGACACTAGATTAACTCTTCATTTTTGATGAAGAGAAGTCCTTGTTATCTCGCTCTCATTCTGGAGGCGAGGAATCTTGCAGGATTTAAAAATTTCTCACTAAGGTAGCATTAAGACTATCCAAAGTAGTGAAAATAAAGTATTTTGTGAACATTCTTCAAATCACTGATGTGAAGGTTATATAGCCTGATGTTAGGTTATATAAAATCTAAAATAAAACCAAAGAAAATGTAAAAAAAAAAAATCTAACTTCTTAAGACTGAAATAATCCCATACCTATTCTCTAGACTTCAATGCAATAAAGCTTTTTAAATAGAGATATGCATCTGTTCTATTTTTGTTTTTTGTTTCTCAGTTTGGGTCCAAAGGTTTATAACTGTGCTCCTACTGAAAGGAATGAGTAGAAAATTCATGAGATGATTTGTTTCCCTGAAGATCCAATAGTTATAATGGTTATTTAAGCTTCCTGCATTCTATTGGTGACATATGGATGTGAACAAGACAGTTGGTAGCAGGACTTATATGCAGTGGCACTGCTGCTGATGGAAGAACATAGAATAATATAACATGGAACACAGAAACTCTCTTGAGGGTTGTATTTCAAGTATTCTTATCATCCAGAGAATGGAGTTATCTAGTCTTGCCCTACTTCGTCATATCTATCAGCATCTTACATGTTTTTTTTTTAATTTAACAAGGGGTGACAAAAAGGAAAAGGGGAATTGAGGTTAAATGGGAAGAGGAGAAACAATAACATACTAATGTCCATTCGATACATATTGCCATATCAAAATTCCAAATTACTCTTTTTACTATTTTGTGCCTTCCAGATTTAAGTTCTCATTTCAATATATGCTCTTCATACGCTGCCTGTTGACTCAGTCCATTTGTAGAATAAGTCCCATCTTTCTGTTGCCTTTTGTAAAGGACAGTCCTTCATCACTTCTGATAAAAAGCATCTTGCATGTGAAGGGCAATGAATCTGAAGAGAGAGTGCTCTGTTATTTCTACACACTCTCTCCCACAGGAGGTGGGTGCCGGAGCCTGATTCATATAGTGAATGTGGAAGGACCATGGAGCGCTTCCCTTTCAGACTTCCAACTTTCCACATTTAGAAAAGTCAAAGTAATGTTGGCTTGGGGGCCAGAGTGAGAGCACTCCATTCTCACAACTGTTAAATACTGTCAGTTTAATGTTCATACTCTTTACTCAAACCCCTCATTGTATGTGTCACAAAACAAGCATTGCAAGATGAATACAAATATTTTCACCATGTTCCTTCCGAAAAGGTACCTACTAGTTTTCTGCTCGCCAAAACTTCATACAACTTGTTCTTGACTGCATTGAATCTTTTAATATGAAACAGCTGAGTTCCCTTCTCTTCAACATACCTGTGGGTAGCACCTTTCTTCTCACAGTTAAATTCACTTGCCCATTTCGAGCTGCATTATGCATGAGATCAATCACATATCGGTGGGTTTTGCCAGCCACTGGAATTCCATCCACATAGACCAGCTCATCACCAGGATGTAGTCGGCCATCTCTGTCTGCTGAGCCCATGGCAATTACTGCTCCAATCAGAATCTAAGACATAACACAAAAAGAGTATTACAAACAGAAGTTCAAAATGACAAGGAACAAAAGAAATCCCAACATGTTTCTGGAGATGAGTAGATGGAACTTTCCTTTCCTCCATTCCAAAGGCAGGTTGGAGACACTGTAGAAGTTCTGCACCAAGTTCCTGTGGGTAGTTCCAAAATTTTATGCTTTTATTGAAGTACCAAAGTCTCATGGCGGATGTTGGGGCTGGGCTTAGTTTCTTAGATGGAAAGAGCTGCAGTCTGCAAGAGGCCTGTGGGAAGAGGGTGTGGTTCAAACTCTTCCTTAGTTGGTCATTTGGAACAAATGGTCTTTTCCTGATTTTTTTTCTGAACTGTTTGTAGAAGATCAGTGAGAAGTATCTCTAATCCTGCAATAACTGGAGAAATCTGTAGCAATTAATATTATAGACCAAACTCTGCAAGTGACCTTTGGAACCCAAGTTTAGCAGAATAGTGATTTATTCCTTCCCCACTCTTGCTTCAACCATGAATGATTTTTTTAAAAAAGAAAGGAAACAGAAACCCAGTTCCAGGGAGTTCCCCGGACTTCTCTAGCATTTTTAGGGTGCACAGGGGGCTGTGGAGAGGGAGAGGAAATTGCAGATCCTAGTGGAAATCAAACAGAAGCACATCACTGGATTGTGATAGCTCCTTTTCCTAAAGAGCAGTCAGTTTCATAATTCAAATAACAATGAATTTTCAAGAATAAACATGCTGGTTAAGTGCTTTTTGGAAGGTTCACTCCATTGGCCATTCTGCTTCCAAAATTGATGCTAGCCATGCCTGATTATTAGACTCACGTACCACGCATAATTCTGGCATACATATTAACGTTAGGCAATGGTATGGTGTTGCGGCTGATTTCCATGCAGAATGAGGTTATGGACAGCCCTCTGCAGCACAGATATGAGCTCCCCATTCTCAGCCTGTCAGACAAATTAAGTTGTGCCATAACCTTCCTTAGGCTGAGACAAGACATTAAACGATCAGCTGCTGCTGAAAATAGCAAACATGCATTTCATTCCTTCTGTCAAAACATATAGTAAAACTAGGCCATATCCTGATACTGAATCCCATTAGCCATCAATGAGATATGATGTGTATATTCAAAATGACGAGGTAGCAAAATATGAATCAGTTTTGCAAGATATTAAATCCATAGGTAGTCTGTGGCACAAGCAGAGCAATTAACCTGAAGTTTGGGGTGGGCTGCTGAAACCAGAGCCACACCAATTAAATGTCCAGTTGATACTAGCGGCATCCATGGTTTTAATGTTGCTATGGCCATGACTTCCTTCACAGTCAGCTGCAGACACTTCATAAAGTGAAACGGTGTGCATTTCACCATAAAACAGATGTATGAAGAGGTTTTTGAGGTTAATAGAAAGAATACAAAGAACAAAAGTGCCAGAGACTTTTATTTTACATTTTTTTCTGTATTCAGCCATGTCTTATTCCTTATTTTAGGCTTCCCTAATTTGCCGTAGGATCCCAAAGGGCTAAAAATATGAGCAGAATATACCATTGTGAAACAAAATAAATAACCTTCCTTCTTCAATCCCTAATGCACTGTAGGCTGTAAATCCTTATGGCTGTCATTGATTCCAGAGAAATATCATGGGAATTAGAAGCATAACATTTCTATTCTTATACCATCATTTTCAGTACATGACTAATGAAAGTCATTATCTGATGTACTTTGCAATGCAATGTGCATCATTCTAGGATGTATTGAATGTTTTCAAGAATGAGTAATATGAATAGTAGACAGTTTCAGACTTCAGAATGACTATATTTGTCAAGCAAGACATCTCTCAGGGCTGGAAATCACAACATGACATTCATTTGCTCCTGCAAAATGTGAAATGTTATTTTGCTGCTGCTGCTGTTCAACAACAGGGCCTCAACCATCCCCAGAAACCAGCCGTGTCCTGTAAGTCAGTAACTGAAAGATGCCAAGAAAACAAAGGACACTGTGTAAAAGGCTGGGGACTTAACACAGGCTGATTCACAATGACAGCTTGTAGATGGAGATGCTGATAGCTTGAGAGTCCTGTCTTTTTCAATGTCTGAACAAGAAAAAGTACCATTCAAATATGACCATTATATGAAGTGATATTTTTCTGACTAATACAAAGATACCAGAGATGCAGAGTGGAAAGTTACAAGAAAGCAACTTACTGGCTGTCCAGGTTCATCTCCTCCAAGAATTCTGAAGCCAAATCCAGACTCCATTCTCCGAAGGTGAACATCCAATTCTTTATAATCTGGACCTGATTCAAAATAAAATCTTAATGAGTTGCAGTATGTTTTGGGTTCCCTTACTAAAAACCTAGCTGCCTGATGTTTTGTTCATTAATTAGTCTCGCCAGAGCCAGTAGAAAGAGCAACGAGACAGTGGTTTCGAACACTCTGAGGCAGGAAATACAGATACTTGAGCATGAAGATAGCTTTGAAAATTAAGGTACATGGGAGGATGCCTGAACCTGACACAGAAACTCATTATAGATTGTCCAACATTCTCCAAATAAGATATTGGGAAGTTACTTGGAGGAAGAATGGGTATAATTACATGTTAAAACCATTGTAACTGAGCAGTAGTAGAGTGACACTCTGGGTCTCAATGTGTCACCTCTCAGTTATGGACAGCTTCATCATGCCATTGTATGAACTCTTTTTACTAGAAAACCAGGTTCAGACCTAAATATAAATATGTATGTTTAGAAAGTATCGTTTGCTATGTTTAGGAAAATGTGGCTTTGCCACAATGTCTGCAGTGAAATACAAATACTTTTCCTGCCATGGATGCCCAGATTGATTGGGGTGACACTATAGGAAAAGATGTAATGTGCAAAGTGGCTGGAAATGCCATAGTTTTTAATGCATTTACATCCAAACCTGTTTAGAATTGCTGCTCTAATATCTTCTTGGTGCTGTTTTTCTCATTATTTCCTGCCCCAACCAAACTATCTCATAAAAAAATGAGACGTGTCCTCCAGGATCAATTGGAATCCTATCTAGTCTATACCACATGGTGGCCAAACAGATGTCTTAGAGAAGCCCATAAACAGGAATAAAGCTCGGAAAATTATAACTTTTAAAAAAGCAACTATATTGACTGGGAGGTCCTGGGAGTTAACAGTCCCAAGAAGTAACTTTTCTAAGTTCAGAGTAGGACATAAAGGTAAAAGCCTTCTTCTTCTCCCCAGATGCTACTATTCCTTGGCAGACTGTTTCTGAATATGGAAGTTTTATATAGCCATCAAAGCTCCTAGCTATAATAGACTTGTGTTATTCTAATATCCTAAGACATTTAAACTTGTGATCATTGCCAAATCATCTGGCAGCAAATGGCATAATTTAACACAAACATATAGGCATTTTATTTTAAATTATCATCATTGTTAATTATGTGGGTTTTTAAAATAATAAATAAAATCATATTATTGTTAATTATGTATCTGTAAAAGTTATTTTATTGTATTAGTTCTTTTCCCCTTTAAAAACAACTATGTATGTAGTGCATGAGAGAATTAAACAAAATAAATTCATTGCAAAGAAGAAAAGCATTTTTTAAAAACCAGAGTGGTTTTGTAGGACTCTAAGCTTGCTGTACACTTTTTAATTCTGTGGTTGAGAATGTGTGACACCAAGAAATGACATCAATTCTGCTAAAAAAAAATGGCAAGAGTAGGCGAATTTTTCCTGTACTCACTGTCAACGCCTCCATCTTGAGAAATGCTAAACTGCTGTAGCAGCATCTTCCCAAACCAAATATATGAAACAGAGTGGGTTCTTTCCAACCCATTAAAAAAAACCTGGTATGTAAAATATCGTATACATTGCCTTTGCTAAGAAGATGCATGGATTATGTTTCCTTTTTTTCACATAAAACTAGACAGGTTCAGTAGAAAACCTCTGTGTTTAAACCTAGTTATTTTCTATGTGATTTTAAGAGCAAAAGTGAGTTTTACATAGAGAATACTAACATCCCCTCTTGCGTTTTAGCGCCCAACAATCTCTTGCCTACAAGCATGTTCCCATTAATGCAGATGCCAAAACAGAACTGGACCTGCCTGAGAGAGTAGATCTGGATTTATAAGTTGCCTGAAAATAATAAACCAAGGGCAAAAATGAAGGCACTGCTGCATCATGGTACTTTCACAACTGTAGCAGATGTGGATTGAAAAACATAGAATTGCTGTAATTTTATCTGGTTTGGGCCTGAACTATTGAAAAGTTGCCTTAAATGCATTCAGAATGCTTTACAATGTGAATAGTTTTATAATTCATGATGACTGATGACAGATAGCTCTTTAGAACACATGTATTGTTTTAATATTGATCTTGAAAACAAGGTAATAGTGCTTAATGGTCAATGGGACAGATCAAAAGATTTCTACAGATGTTTCTTAATGGTCACAGATCTATCACTGCCCTCTAATGAAGTTATACTTCCTGTAACCGAGTAACTCATTCAACAACATAATATGGTGGAGCCCCTGCAACAGCATCAGACAACAAGGTAGCATATTACATTGCTGAATTTTTTTCTAACTTCTGGAAACTAAGAAGTAAAAAACTTAAAACAAGCACACTATAAGAAAATGTTCTGTCCTACCTTCCCTCTGATATGCCAATGTGAAAATGTAGTGTTCTTTTTAAAATATGGACAGTGTTGCACTGGATTAAAATTTGCTATCTAATGTGATATAACAACAGCTTTATTATAACCTAAAAAAGTAAAGATTCCCCTTGACAATTTGTCAAGTCGTGTCCGACTCTAGTGGGCGGTGCTCATCTCCATTTCTAACCCATAGAGCTAGCGTTTGTCTGAAGACAATCTTCCATGGTCACATGGCCAGTGCGACTAGACACAGAATGCCGTTACCTTCCCACCATGGTGGTACCTATTTATCTACTTGCATTTTGCATGTTTTTGAACCGCTAGGTTGGTGGGAGCTGGGACAAGCGACGGACGCTCACTCTGTCATGTGGATTCGATCTTACGACTACAGGTCTTCTGACCTTGCAGCACGGAGGCTTCTGCAGTTTAACCCACAGCACCACCACGTCCCTTTCATATTATAACATACTGTGGTTAAATCATCCATGAACTTACTATGTGTTTCATGAAACATGCTCCAGATGCTGCCATTATACACATACTCATTTCTACCCATCCTACCAAATAACTTAAGTAGCATTTATGTTGAGAAGACCACACAATTACTAAAAGGTGCCTTGTGGTGCAATAGTTAACCTGCTGTACTGCAGCCAAAACTCTGCTCGCAACCTGGGTTCAATCCCAGGTAGCTGGCTCAAGGTTCACCAGTCCTTCCATCTTTCTATGGTCAGTAAATTAAGTACCCAGCTTGATAGGGGGCAAATGTGTAACCTTCATAATTAAACTGTAAACCACCCAGAGACTGCTTTAAGCACTATGAGACAGTATATAAACAGCACACTTTGCTTTTGCATTTATTTATTGAATCAGTGGAGATTTGGTGTATCAATTCCCACGTAAGTTCCATTAGTTCAAATAGCCCTGTTCTAGTGTAACTTACTGCACTAAGCAAGAGGATTTCAGCCACTGAGTAGGAGTTCCCTTTACTCATAAAGAGTACTAAATATCTTCTGCTAGCACGGTTTTATCTGTGCTAGCAGAATTACAGCACCGAATAGCTGCCATTGATTTCAATAGGGATATTTTATGGTCAAATCTAGTGGTGTACTTCTGAGTGGCAATGTTTGCAGTGCATCTTAAAAGCTGTCCCAGAAGGCTAGAAATCCCATGGAGCACATTCGCTGGCATTCAGGCAGTAACAGGAGGGGTAGGAGAAGTCCCTATTATATTGGTGTTGAATACCAAAGTGTATTGGTGGATCTTGAAATAAAGATGAAGAATAGGGTTAATGGTGTCTGGTGACTCCATTTTGGGGGGTACTGTGAATCCATTGCAGCTTTTAATTTGCAATTTACAGGAGGTATCCAAGGTGCTGAATCTATTTGGGGGATAAGTTTCAACACACTGGATAACTTTTACAAAGTTCAGACTAAAACTCAGGGTGGACTCATGGCACTCCCAAAACTGGAGTCGCCGGCCACCTTTGGCACATGTCCAACCCAGTATTTTCTGTTCAGCAAACACTTTTCTTAACGTTGTGCAGTTTTCATATTAATAGCTCCAAACTGGCAACAATGCAACCAATTCTTTTTTTCTAGTGTGGAGGTGCAAGTTAAATATGTAAAGAGATCTGCCAGAAGGAAAAAAAAATACAGTAATCTTCATTATTTCATTGCCTGCCATTATGAGATATCACCTTGATTTGTGTGCATTCTTTTTCAAAAAAAGAGAAATGTATTAAGATCAAGTGTTTCCAATACATTGTTCTTAATGTTACGTCCAAAAGGGCATAGCTAGCACTTAGTGTAATACCATAATGTCAGGGAAGTGAAATGGATTATCTTAAAGTAAAAAAATAAGTGGTACTTCAGAAAGATGACTGCATCAGATTTATTATAGGTTTCATTCACAAAAGTGCGATGTCCAGAGATTAGGGAACCAGGGAAGTTGGCTTATTTTGTTCTTTCTGTAAGGGAGGTTAGTTTATATTTTTGTATACATTTTAAACAACAGTTAACATAAACAATAATTCTTTGTTGTTACTGATCATATGAAAATGGACATGGTTAAATGTTTTCACATATATATTCTTTGAGGGTTAGAACAGTTGCTCCTTCAAACAACAGGGCCAGCCCTACCATTAGGCAGTAGATCATGGATGGCGTGAAAGGACAGAAACGTTTTGGTTACTTAGTTAAAACTGGATTTTTACTGTTGAAGAGAAGGAGAGGTGAATGTGGGGTTTTCTGCCTCTTGTGCTAAAATAATGGGGCTGGGGTTGTGTACGGTGCATCCATACTTGGATGGATATGGGGGACAAACAGCCCTATTAACTATACAAACTAAAAGGCTATATTATGCAGAATGGTGACTGGACACTCATGATGAATCATGCCTCTGAGCCATGATTAAAAGAAGCACAGTCACTTAAGACATGGAGGACAGTTACGTTACAGCACAATGAAGGCTGAAAAATACTTGCCAGAGGAATCCATTCGAAAACCAGTCCTGGGCGGCACTTGCTCTGAATAGGAAAACGTGGAATTAAAGGTGATGTACATTTTTTCCAGACATTTAAATATGCAATACTGCCCTCCCTGCTTTCATATGAAATAACATACTATCAATTCAGTAGCTTTGAACAGGTAGCTTTTACTTTGAAAACTTATGCATTCAGTTTTAAGCAGTGCTTTGAAAGAGAAAAGAAGGTTAAGAAAGACCTTTAATTCAATAATGTGGTAATTATTGTATTTTTTTTTAAAAAAAGATTATGCTTTGTTTTAAAACCACAGCTATCAGGGTCATTCATATGAAAAGAAAATGTCCTGCTACATAAATTTTCAGTGGTGTAAGAGTCGGATAGGTGTGTATGCTGCTGATCACACTTGGATATGGACAAAAGTTATTAAATTTAACAAGTTCTGGCTTGGGCTGAATAGTTGTAGAATTACCTGTGTCTGTACAAAGTGAAATATTGATGCGTGAGGAGAAATACAATCAATCAATTGTTATCAGGACAGTTTACTATTTCTGGCAGCATCTTGAGAGTCTTTACTCTTTTTGTTACCTGGTGTCTCTATACCCCTACTCAGGCATTCCTCTCCTTTAGCATGGTGAAAACGCTTATGGGTAGTACCTAACTCTAGCCAAGCATTCTGCAACCCAGGGCTGTTAACTATGATTAGAAGAAAACGCCTGTTCCCTCCCCCTCCAGATTGCATTCTTCATAGCTACTGAGCTGGGTCTGAGAATAGTCCTGTTCACATGTAGGCTCCATATGTGAGGAAGAACCCAGATTTTCTAGGGAAATCACATGAAACTCTTCTCTGCAGACCAAGCAATAAAACTTGGAAGATGGAAGGATCAGGGCTGGGCACAGCCCTCTGAGGGTGATCAAAGTGCCTGCACAGTAGAATGCCTGAACAGGCTGTGGCCAATCCATCAACTTGATCCTCGGATGAAAAAGAGATTGCCATGAATTCCTAAATTTTTCTGTTCACTACTAAGCCCTATTTGGTGAAACACAGCTCTTAAATTAAGTATATGTGCATAGCGCTGCAGGCTAAAGTAGCATCAAGTTATTACAGTATGATAACTGAGACAAAATTGTCTCGAATGGTGACGTTTTTGACAGAAAACTGCATTATACGACACTATAAAATAATTATATTCAGCCGTCCATTGAGAACACTTTTGCAGTCAAGATTGGGTGAGTCAGTTAAGATATTTAACTTGAGTACAATGGTGGGTGACCTTCCTTGAAAAAAATCACTATACATTTTCTTAGAAATGCAAACAAAAGCACTACCACACCGCAAAACAGGCTTAACAAAAACCTACCCCACCAGAACACACAAATTGGCTTAGCTTCAGCAAGAAGCCTTTTCAGGCGCCTACCAACTATAAGATTTCAGAAGGAAAAACAGGAAGCAAAAAGTTGTTTCTAGCTTACCATACTTCCCCTTGATGTTTTAATACGTAGTTTATAGCTTATTTGTGTCTGGTGTGTTCCCAAGTGATTGATCTGATTTAGCCCCCAAAGTGATGCACATCTGATCTTTCTTCTCCCCAGGAAAACCTGGAAATTGTTATCTCCACAGGAGAGTGTAGCAATTCTCAGCAACCTTAGCAAATACAGTTCACAGGATGCTCTGGGGGAAAGTCATGACAATTAAAGGGATGGAATACAAGGTAAATATATATTATAGCTACATTCCAAGAGTCTGTGGGAGTGCTTTTAAAAGTTAATCATTGGGAGCAGGGGGAAAACCATGCTGGGATTTGTCCACTAGGAGACAGGCATATTTTGATTAAGCTAGTCAAATTGTAAATCATCTTGTCTGCACTAGATTTACTCGCATGCCTTCTGTACCCATTTCAGGATTCACTCATAATGTAAAGACTGGAATATTGAAAACAACAACAAATTAGGGGGAATCAATGATATGAATATGAATGCTTATCAATCTGGAGCCTTTGCAAGTGATCTATACATTTCTGTTCCCCCTTAATTTCAATTAGGTAGGTTAAAAATGCTCCTAGGCAATTTTTATTGGCACAAGAAATTATTACTTGAACATCAATATTTGTTTTATAATTCATTTTCATCCCAGGTATATTCGCAGTAAATCCTATGATACCATATTATGACTTATTTATCATTTATTTCTAAAGCACCAAAAATCAGTCAAGATTATATAAATCCAATTTCTCTTTCTGGATATATAGTAGCAAAGGTAAAAGGTAAAGGTTCCCCTTGACAATTTTTGTCCAGTCGTGTTCGACTCTAGAGGGCGGTGCTCATCCCCGTTTCCAAGCCATAGAGCCAACGTTTTGTCCGAAGACAATCTTCCGTGGTCACATGGCCAGTGCGACTTAGACACGGAACGCTGTTACCTTCCCACCGAGGTGGTACCTATTAATCTACTTGCATTTGCATGCTTTCGAACCGCTAGGTTGGCGGGAGCTGGGACAAGCGACGGGCGCTCACTCCGTCACGTGGATTCGATCTTACGACTGCTTGATCTTCTGACCCTGCAGCACAGGCTTCTGCGGTTTAGCCCACAGCGCCACCACGTAGTACCATATAGATATGTAGATATCGGATACTTGTTTAATACTAAGGTACTGACATTTAAAATTTAACTGCTATTATCCAAATCAATCAATCAATCAATCAATCAATCTCTGGGCACATTTCCCCCCATCAGACTTTCCCCCAGAGCTTATTTATGAATTAATGTGCATAATTAATGTGGGGGTAAGGAGAAATAATTAGAAATTGTTTGATGACAGTATTAAAGAACATTGCCTATTCTATCTACCTTGTTTGAAAACCTTTTCATTATATCATTTTTCTCATTTTGATGTAAATTAAATGATTTGAAACATGATCCTCTGTTGGAGAGCAAATCAGAGCAAGTTACAGTTGTTTCACAGAGCTCCAAGCCCTGAAATTAATCTTTCGCTAATATGGGTATTGCTGGCAGAGGCTGACTGCATCAGGGCACGACACAAAGACATAACAAGCAACAAGTTTAAATGATTGTCCAGAAACACTCCTGGCTGCAATAAGACGGACAAAGACTAATCAATGTAAAATAAATAATTGAAAAATTTAAAATGCATGTAGTCAATGGGGCTGACATTTAGAGCAAGAATCTAATATTCGGGGATTCTCTCTACACAGTCATTTAAGGAACAGTCCAATACTCTTGAACCTATAGAAAAAGGTACAGTCTGCACAGTGCAGTTTGTGGGCTGTATGTAAGCCCCACAAGGCACAGCGTGGTTCTCCTACCACCATCCCAAGAGGCGGTCATGTACATCCCATTTAATCTCTGAGGCTATTTTTTGCTTTTACAAAGGCCAGAAATAACATGATAGTCATTTCCTGTCTCTTATGCCTCATAGGACATAAAAGAGGCTCTAAAATAGTGGTTCCCAACCTTGGGTGACCCAGATATTTTGGAATGCAAAACCCTGGCTAGCACAGCTAGTGGTGGAGGTCTCTGGGGGCTGCAGTCCAAGAACACCTGGGTTATCCAAGATTGGGAACCAATGCTCTAGAGGGAGTACAGTCGGGCATTCAAAATAAATTGTATATCCGAGAAGCATTTGGGGGCCAAAAAGTTTGAGGTGTTTTGATGGAGAAGGTATTTCAGAGGTGAGGTGTGGCCCTCCAAAGGCCAGGAGAGAGCAAAAGTGGAGATGTCTGTCTCCACTATGCACTTTTCCTGGAAGTTATGTATTTAACTCAACTAGATTTATTTAGACTTACAGTGGTGCCTCACTTAACGACGATAATCCATGCCAGGAAAATCGCTGTTAAGCGAAAACATCGTAAAGCGAAATTTAAAACCCCATTGAAACGCACTGAAACCAATGCGTTCCAATGGGGTAAAAACTCACCGTCCAGTGAAGATCCTCCATACGGCGGCCATTTTCACTGCCTGTATAGTGAGGAATCCATCCCTAAACGCAGCGGGGAGCCATCTTAAGCACCCAGTGGCCATTTTGAAAATCCGACAATCAGCTGTTTTTGATCGTCATAAAGTGAAAATCCGTTCCCGAAGCAGGGAACCGATCATCACTAAGTGAAATCCCCCCATTTAGACCATTGTTTTGCGATTGCCATTGCAATCGCAAAAACATCGTCGTAAAGCGGATTCGTCATAATGTGGGGCAATCGTTAAATGAGGCACCACTGTATTTCTGAGTAATCACAAACAAGATAGATCCATGTGGTGCCACTCCAATGCATGCTTACCTTGGGGTAAGCCCCAAAGAACAAATAATTATCAGCAAATGTTATAAGATTCAGTGTTAGAGGATTAGAAACAATGACTTTAAGTTTATGTGTCCATTTACCTAGCTACATGAAGAAAACACATGCATTACACCTTAGCACCAAGAACTCTTCTAATTTTCTAAATGTGAATAAGGACTTAGGCAACTTTTGGTAAAGCATACAGCATTTAAGGGAAACAGAGTGCTGTATTTTAAATGCAGCCATCAATTGTAGAGCTGACAGTTTCTATTAGCGTAATTCCTCTGGGGCCTTCTTGCCAGCCGGCAATCAAAATCACTTCTCATCCATAGCACTTTCTCTAGCGTTGATATTTTCATAATCTCATCTGAAAATGCTTTTGGATATATTGTCAGCTCCTATAACCAACCAAAATATTTTGTCATGATGAGTAACTCTTTTTGCCAAGATGAAGAGTATGGGGGAAACAGTCTTCACAGTTTCCATTTTCCTCTCCATTTGAAGTGTATTCCCTGGGATGTCAGGAAGGTTAATGCTTATTTTGTATTCACAAAATGTATCTGCTCTCCCACTGTGCAGATCTGGAGTTGGGGAGGGAAAAAATAGTATCTTTGTGTATTTGCACATGTATGTGTGGAGTGGATGTGACACGAAGGTTAGGCTGCTTGAATGTGACATGTTTTGGAAACACTGTCCAAAAAGATGCACCGTGTTTTGCATTACATGTCAGAAACCATGCTTGGCAAGAAGTGTCT